CATCGATGTTTCTAACTCTCTATCTCTCTCCCTTCCTCTCTGTAAAAAATCAATAAAATGTTTTTTTTTAAAAAAAAAGAAAGAAAGGGCCCCTGGTGGGGTCCAGGTCTGTACAGCTGGGGGATTGGAAGTGGGGGTCTGGCACGGGGCGGGGGGGAGGATGGTGTCAGTGGGAGGAGCCGAAGGGCCCTGTTCCATGCCCGCATCCCTCAGGTCACCATCCTGGAGGCAGCCAACAGGATCGGGGGCCGCATCCTCACCTACCGGGATGAGAAAACGGGCTGGATCGCGGAGCTGGGAGCCATGCGCATACCCATGTCACACAGGTGAGGCCTGACCGGGCTCCTCCAAGTCCGTTCTTCTCCTGGTCCCAGCCCCACCACTGTGCCCCTGGAAGTGCTCAAGCCGCCAAGTCCAGCTGGACCCCTAGCTAGCCCCGCCCAGTGCCTCTGGACCCCCAGCTCTGCCTGCCCTGACCCTGACTCCCGCTCCAAACCCTGTCCTACACAGGACTGCCCTCAGCCTTCCAACTGTTCCCATTTCATTCCTGGCCCCAGCTGCCCCCAAATCCAACCCCACTCCAGCCTCATGCCCCTCCCCAAACCCCGTCCCCAGCTGCCCTACCCACCCCCTTCCCTTCTTCACGCACCCCCCGCTCCGACCCCCGGGAAGGGGAACCCCGCCTCCCCGTGGACTGCCCCAGCCTGGCCTGCTCCCTCAGGATCCTGCACGTGCTCTGCAAGAGCCTGGGGCTCAACCTGACCAAATTCATCCAGTATGACGAGAACGCATGGACCCAAGTGGGCGACATGAAGCTGCGGAACTACGTGGTGGAGAAGATGCCGGAGAAACTGGGCTACGACCTGCGCCCCCAGGAGAAGGGCCACGCGCCTGAGGACATCTTCCAGATGGCTCTCAACAAGGTGGGCGCGCCCGCGGTCCCGCAGCCCTGCCCCCCACGCTGTCGTCCCTCTGGCCAGCCTTTCCTTCTCCCCCTCACGCCTCCTGGTCTCCCATGGCTACCTCTTCCATCTTTAGTTTCCCTGCAAACTCTGCCAAGCCCCAATGCTCCATCACCCTGTGGTCTCTGATCCCTCCCCACCCACCCACACACTGTCCTGGACAGCCTCCCCTCTTACATCTGTGGCTTAAACCTTGATCTGCAGGCAGATGTCTTCCAGACCCATCTCCTGAGACCCACATCTATGTCTGTCTCCCCCTGGCCACACCCAGGATCCTGATACTGCACTCAGTCTCTTCCTCTAAACCTCTCATACTCCCGGGTTCCCCATGTCACAATAGTCCTGGCCCCAACTTGAGCCTCATCCTCTCCTCTGGCTCCTGCCTGCCCTGCCTGGAAGACCCCTTCCCCCACCCCCAGGGAACCCTGCTCAACCCTCAAGAACCAACTCCAATGCCCCCTTCCTCCAGGAAGCCTTCCCTGATGCCCTCAGGGAGGAGCTGGCCTCTCCCTTCTCTGGCAGTTCCTAATTGTCCATCTCCCCTTCCGGACAAGGGTGGGTGCTGAGTTCAGGCCATGCTGTGTTGGCACCTCCCAGTTCAGTGAGCCTAGAGAAATGCGAGGTGATGGTGAGGGAATGAGGGAGGAAGGGCACAGGGGGAAGCCAGGTGAGCAAAGAAGAGGGCAGAAATCAGAGGAGGCGTCAGGAGATGAGCCTGGAGCAGAGCGGTGAAGGAGGACTAGCCAGGGGGCAAGTACAGGGTGTGGGGTGGGAGAGCTGAGGGTGGTCTGGGCACTGGATATTGTCCTTAGAACCAGAGCTTCCTTAAGAAATGGTGGTCCAGGGGCTGGTAGGGGCCTGGGATGCCAGGCTGAGGGGATAGAACTGCGGCTGCAGGTGCTGGGGAGCCCTGGGAAGCTATGGGCAGTCATGCCCCCTCAGCAGTGGCAGAAGGAATTCCACTTTCGTCAGTGCCCACAGTGAACCAGGAGGTAGTTCCTGGGTACCAGAACGCCACAGCACTGAGAGGGACTGTCCCTGCTGCACGGGGCCACGCCTGGGACGGAGGCAGACGAAACAGCGCCCGCCTGGCCCAGCATTTCGGTGCCAGGTGTGCCGGGAAATGGGGCATACGGACTCAGGAAGACATCCCAGGGGGTGACATCGGAGCAGCAGTGGAGGGCAAGGCTGAGATAGACATGGGCAAAGGCCTGGCAGTGTGAACGCGAGTGGTAGAGGCCATCCATGAGCAGGAGCAGGAAGAGAACCCAGATTTGGAACCCAGGCCCAGCCCCGCCATCCTGCCCCTCAGCTCCAGCTGTCTGCTTGTTCCCCTGCAGGCCATCATTGATATCAGGAAAATGGGCTGCAGAAAGGCCATGAGGAAGTTCGACAAGTTGACACTCCTGGTGAGGGGGGTCTCCGGGTCCCTGTCTGAAACCGGGAGCAGGAGGGCACCCGTGGGCTTTGGCCCTGGAGCCAGAGGGCAGGAACCCGGGACACAGCCCTGGCGACCTCCTGCCTGGCCATGGGGTTGGACATGCCCCCGCTCGGGGCTTCCCTTTCCTCATCTGTCACAAGAGGAGGGGGACGGGATCTCTAAGGTCCAGGGAACCTATTAAGTCAGTGACGGCGAACCTTTTGAGCTCAGCATGTCAACATTTTGAAAAACCCCTAACTTAGCTCTGGTGCCGTGTCACATACAGAAATTTTTTGATATTTATTTTATATATTTAAATGCCATTTCACAAAGAAAAATCAATCAAAAATATGATGCGGGTGTCATAGGTTCGCCATCGCTGCATTAAGCTCTCCTTGCATCCGGGGATGGGGAGGCTGGGCTGGGAGGGGCCCTGCAGCGGTGGGGACGGAGCTGAGGTGCACTGCGGGGCCCTGACCGCACCCGTCCCCCAGGAGTACCTCCTCAACGAGGGGAACCTGAGCCAGCCCGCCACAAACCTCCTGGGGGACGTGATGTCCAAGGACCGCTTCTTCCATCGCAGCTTCTTGGAGGCCCTGCGGGCCCACGGTTCCCTCAGCGATCGTCTCCGGTGAGGGGCGGGGCCGGGGGCCAATGCGGGGAGTAACGGAGCGGCGGGGCTGGCGAGAAGGGTGCAGCTTTTAGGGAGAAGCGGCCACGTTCACCCCACACCCCGGGGTCTGGAGGAAATGGATTAGAAAGGTTCCAGGAAGGGCGTGGCCCAGGCAGAAGGGGCGGGATTCTTGAGTCACACTTCTGTGCTTGCCAGTCCCCGTTGGGGGGTGGGGGGACTTCAGGAAGTGGGTGGGGTTCTCGGGGAGCAAGCAGGTGCCAACTATGGGCCAGTAGTAGAGGGTGATTAGAGGGAGGGCTCCGGGCAGGTGACCAGGGAGCACACAGAGAGGGGCCAGCCAGCGGGAAGGGGCGGAGCCGAGAGCCCAGGTCACGCTCCTGCCCCCCCCCCCCG